GTATACAAGGCCACCGTGAGGGCCGTTCTGCTTTATGTGATAGTGAAACTTGGCCCCTTCGGTCTGAAGATCTGAGGCGCCTTCAAGTCTTTGATCATCGTTGTTTGCGAAGCATTGATGGTGTCGGATGGCACCAGCGTGTCCACAACGATGATGTGCGTAGGCGAGTACTAGGTGGTGATAATCATGCTAGCTCCCTAGAACAACAGATAGCACTGAATAATTTGCGTTGTCTTTAGCACGTTTTACGTATGCCGGGTCACCGCTTACCTAGGAGGGCCTTGTTCAGTCTACCAGATGTAGGATGGCGCAAGGCTCGAGGTGGACAGAAGTTGACTTGGCAACGGGAAATGAAGTCACTGACGCCCAAACTGGGTGCCGTTGGTCCGTCTCGCCTTCCGGGTTGGAGTCCACGTGACTCACCTTGTGCTTGGCTCGAGACTTTACAGGACATGGCTCGCAACCGACACCAGTGGCGCGTCTTCTGCCGTCTCCTAATCGGATTGTCTGTTTAAAGTGTGTTTGGTGCTGAGTTATCTGCGGGGTAATGGCTGATTATGACGCGTGGCAGTGAAAGCCGCAAGGAAGCTGTCTCGCCGATGCCGCCTTATCTTTGCACGATAGCCAGCTGTTTGTGACGGTATGTTGTCTACACAAGGTGTAGGCGCCTTGACCCTGAATTAAGATTTTCAGGTAAGTCACCCTTCTCTCCCTTTTCTTATTCTTTACTTCATACGTCCTCATGGTTGTATGGCAGCGAAGCATCAGTTCAAATGGCTGATGTACTGCTGTTGATGATGATGATGACCTTACTGCGAATCGATTGCAGCACCTTTTGTCGATCAGAATTTGTCTGGTCAGACGAATGTTCACGGTTTATATGATACCACTTTTATGAACTTAGGAAGCAGAGATAAGTAGGTGCAATCAGTAAGCTCAACGGAGTCTTATAATGAACGCAGTTGTGTGCGGTTATTAAACTGCTATCCGAACGTTTGCTTTTTTATTCAGCTAATCATCATGGATTGTGTAATACACAGCGTGGCCCCGCTTTCGCATAGCTTTTCGGAATCGTAACATCTCTCAGTTACTAACACAATACTGGGTCTTTATGTATGGGTACTTCTTAGATTGTCTGTTGTCGGACCACTGAGATACCGATTACCAACTGACAACGCCATATGCGCTGTCCTTGGTACGTAAGCGATTTGCGCCTTATATTTCCGGCAGAGACAAACATACAGAATCACCGATCTTGTCCAACACTGTCGTCAGAACGATACCACTCTATTGATCTAACCCGACACTGTGAGCCAACATTCTGATTAGGCGGTCAGTAATTGACGCTTGACACGGAAATTTCAAAATATTTCGGCATTAGACCAGTACCTTGTGTTGGCGTTTTCTTGTTGTGCGTCCGCTGCACTTAGTATTCCCAAGGTGCCCGAAACTAGGCAGGGAAAAGGACTTGAATCCGGGACACGAAAGTTGAAGCCCTGGATCAATACGCCATGTATACTATAAACCACATTCTACCCCCGGTAAATGTGATTTCGTTCGAGTTTGCGGTGCTCAGATGTCCGAATGGGCTGGTTAGTGGGACAGTTCGACTTCAAGATGGGTTTGCGTTAGAGGACTCATTGTCATACTCGTTAGGTGTGGATTTCAGCAAGCAATGTCGATATGGACCGTGCTTCACATTGAAGCGAATCTCCAATCAATTAGATTACTGAGGCCGTGTAATATCTATGGGTCACGTCATAATCTGCCATTACGCCGCAGATAACTCAGCACCAAACACACTGAACACGCAGTCCGACAACAGACGTGCCCCTGACGCCGACTGCGAGCCATGTCCTGTAACCTTTCGAGCTAAGCACAAGGCGGGTCACATAGACTCCAGCCCGGAAGGCAAGACGGATCAACGGCACTCAGTTTGGACGTCAGTAACTACATTTCCCGCTGCCAAGTCAACTTCTGTCCACCTCGAGCTTTTCGCCACCCTACACCTGGAAGACTAAACAAGCCCTCCTAGGTAAGCGGTTACCAGGCATGCGTAGCACGTGCCCGAGCCAACGCAACTTATTCGGTGCTATTCGGTGTTATTCTAAGGAATTAGCTTGGGTATCATTGCCTAGCACTCAAATGATGGTACCACCCTTGAGAGTATGTTCACAGTTGACTGGGCTGCCGCAACCTTATTAAACAGTAAGACGATGTCGTCCGCATAATCAAGATCAACTAGCTTCTCACCAGGCAACACCTCAACGTCTGCATCGTGAGATCCTGCAAGGTAACAATTCATGATGGAGTCCACGACGAAGCTGACCAGAAAGGGGAAATTAGGCGGCCTTAACAAACGCCACCTGTTGTCGGAAGGATTTCCGACAAATCACCGTAAACCCTGACGCGGCCTGTGGTGTTCGAGTACAGGGCAACGTAAAGTTTTCTCATATCTACCGCAGCTTCTCCGGTCGCCGTGTGCCTTGTTTGCGGACGACATGAAGATTTGGAGAGAAATCGACGCTCCCGACGAATATGGCCCTACTTCAGCAAGATCTCAACCGCTTATCCACATGGTCTGCAGAAGTTCTTCTCCCGGTCAACCCAGCCAGTCGGTATTTATGAGCCTGGGGAAGGGTGCAGACGGCCGAACCTACACCCTTGACGGCCAAACGCTATATCCCACACCCCTCCGTGAAGGACCTAGGTGTACTCTCACGCTACGATTTGAAGTCCGTGGACAACACGACAGGCTATATCGGAACGGACTGCGCATGCTTTGGGCGCTCAAAACGTAGCTTCTGCACATGGTCTGAAGAGGTTGCCACTCGCCTGTTCTCTTCTATCATTAGACCAATGCTAGAGTACGGTTCGCCCGCCTACTTTCCGATTACCCGAGGCGAGGCACAAAAGATCGAAACGGGTCCAACACGTTGCTACCAGGCTGATCCCGAGTTTACGTGGCTTTTGGGTATGAAGACCGGTGCGAGAAACTAGGACTCTACACCTTGTCCTACCGTCGGGTACGAGTCGACTTCATTATGACCTACCGAATTCTACATCTCGGTGAGTTCCCCATGTTAAGGCCAATGCTGCACTTACGAGGGCCATGCAGCACACGCGGACACGGATACAAACTTGTTGTGCCGGATATGAAACGTGTTCCCCACCCACTGTGCTTCGAACGGAGAGTGGTAAACATTTGGAATAGTTTGCCCGAACATGTAATTGAGGCAACATCTGTGCAACAGTTCAAAACGTTGTTAGATTTGCATTTTGCCTCTATTCGATTCAGAGAACGACTGCATACTTACGATGACATATCACATTTGTGAATCCTGAAATATCGTAAGTCGAATATTTTAAATATTACATGAGAACGACAAGGATATTCACGGTTGACAACTATTATAATGTTTTTCACAATATTTCGAAAGAGTTGTACAGAATCCATTTCTACTTGCTCTATAATACAGTATTCAGTATCTCATGAGAAAACCTTGCCGCGCAAGTATTTCAATATCCGGAAAAGCACTTTTTAGCGGGCCGTAATCATAACGTGCCGAGTTCTGTCTCCTCGGGTTACAATCGTACAGACTTCTGTGCATTGCACCTTTAGTGAACAGAAGCGAACGCTGCTTAATAAAGTGCATCGACACAGTGAGTACATAGGCGGGTTAAAGGTTAAAACCGCACCACCACTGCTAGTTATTTTTAGTTGAAGAGAATCGGAGAGCACAGTTGAGCCCAATGTTGTATGTACATGCTGTTCTGGTATACGTAAGTGGCTATTTTGTGGTAAATTGCGCACTTGATTTTTCAGCGACACATTTGATTCCACAGTCACGGTCCACAAAAAATTTCGCCTTACAGACACCTTGATTTCCACTGTTTGATCTAATATATTAGCTGTTGCCATTCCCCATGGCCACTGATTCTAACTCCATATACGGCAGATGAAATGCACAAGACTGCTGATACACACGAAGATTAGACGGCCATCCAGTGCTTTCTCTGATTATCGATGGCTGCTTGGCTTAGCTCTATGTTGCAGTGAATTCAATTTATAACGCTGCTTCCTTTGCGCATTCTCTCTGCGTTGTCACTCGTAGCTTATGAGTTGCTGTGGAAAACCACGATTACACCGATGCGTTGGCTACTTTTCATGTTCTCCAAAAATCAAATGATCCTACTTCCGTCAGTGAAGCGGATATGACAGAATACTCCGACGCCGTCTCCGCCAGATGACGAAGTGTCATTACGCGGCCGAACTTGTGTTATTGCGTCAAGTCAGGAAGCTTTCTGACCTTATATATACCGTCGTGGTATGCATGGACCTTTCAATTTTGAGAAAAACAAACACTGGTAGATGCGCGCATTTTCGTATTTCCTGATCAGTGCCAATCGAATCTGAATCAGCCAGACTTTAGTTATCACCTCATGTGTTTACCACTTTCATTGTACTTCGGTAGTAAGCACGTGGGCCGAACTGAGAAATGACTATCATCCAGGATTTCAGAGGACATTCCATTCAATATGGTCGTGAATGGTCTCAAGCTACCGGCTAGCCTGTTGCTTAGTTCATCCTATGCCAGAATCCCCGCGAGCCGTTTGGGATAATTAACCGACAGAGCTTCCGTTTTCTAAAGCCTCAAGCAATTCAGCGGCTTAAACCCGATTTGTGTAAAACACACTGAGTTTATGACCAGCCTCGCATTGCCTTGGTAAGGTTCTTTGATCGTTTCAATTTCAAGGGGAATGACACTGAACGTTGTCTCTTCTTACACGTAGCACAATTATTCTACGGACTGATGAGAACACCCGAAATATCCGGATTCAGAATACCATGTTGAGATCTTGTTCCTTCGAGCTATCTCGAAATTTGTCAACAAAAAAATCCTGTATGAAGTTTTTTGAATTAATTTTTTAGCAATCAACGAATCAGTACTTTACGAGGGTCCGGTTTTATCAGTTCTCATGTTCACTCCTCCATGTAGGTCGCTTGTCCTCGACTCAGTATCGACTGGGGCACAGAATTTCCCAAACCTCTGCTTACTCCGTTCGAGGCAGCTATAGCTCTGGACATGACGGAGCAACAGATCGAACACAACACAGTCTACCCAATGGATTACTACGCTTTGGGAAGCATTGGTCCATGGACACCGAACCACCCAGAAAAATCGGAACGTATCATTAATGTGTACCAATGCAAATGTGATATGAATGCATTTTCTTATTCTTTTTTATCACCATCCATCGGGACAGTTATTCACCTCAAATGGTCATTGAATTTGTACAACGAACTATGGTAGTTTCCTGGTAACCTTATGTATACCATCGTGGTATGCATGGACCTTTCAATTTTGAGAAAACAAGCACTGATAGATGCGCGCATTTCGTATTTCCTGATCAGTGCCAATACAATATAGAAAAAAATTTGAGCCCTTGCTTCGTACACAATTCCGTCTATAGCAACTTAATAATTACTCAAGAATTCGTGATGAAAGACCGCTTGCTGTATCTGGAAGCGATACCGGGCCCATTAGACGATCAGTATACCAGAAGCCAACATGGCTCGGCCAATACTTGCACTTCATCAGCTCCTCACCGATGGCACACAAGCGCGTGCTGGCGAAAACACTCCACTCGTGCCAAACGTATCTACTCGAGTGATTACCTGGTTGAGAAGGTTGAACTAATCAGCACTACGCTCATGGAAAATAGCTACTTGAATCGAATCATTGAAAACTACATCCAGGTTAGACCGCCTAGAGAAACGGTGTTGACGGTAACAATCAACATTACACACCTTAGCTAGAGGTGAAAAAACACTTGTTACTGTACCACAATACATAAGGAAAAAAACAGCATGTGCACGCAAGCCGAGCTACGAGTAACGGATAGGCATTGTTCCGGAAAGTTACCAGTCAGCTACGCGGCTGATGGCCGAGTGCTCTGCATGCATGGCTTGCAATTGTAAGTTCACTGGTTCGAATCCGCGTAGAGGGGGGCGCCCTCGCGGTATACTCAACTCACGGCAGTGAAGCGCCGTTACGACGTACAGTTTAACACATTACTATTTACGCTAAAAAATGAAACCGCAGTTGGAGACGAGGATTAAGAGGGATGAGGAAGGACAAAGAAACCCACAACATGAACCCCACTAAGGTCGGATCCTAGCCATGTCAGCAAGTGCATCTAGCCAGGGAGCCGAGGTCAATGTCAAAGTAAGGGCCTTCGTTGCTCTTGACCACTTCACCCACACACCCGGCGTGCAAATAACGCACGTCGCGGGAGTCGGTTTGCTCGCATGCATAACATCGCCGATCCATCGGAGCCTGGTGCGTGAATAACGGTGCTAAGCGATTCGTTTCCTTTTCTTGTGCCGTAAACAAGTCGTCGAACACGCTCGTTGTTCAGACGATGTCCCGCCAGATGTGAGCCAAGCTGCGAAGGCACCGGTAGTCGAACTTAACTAGCCTCCTTATGACTGCTGATCTAATGGACTAGGTCTCAGCCGTAAAGGAGAGTTGAACGGACTGCTGCATTTTACACTACTTTTCAGAGAGAGTGATGTCGAACCGGCGCCATAGATGGCAATGATTAGCAAAAGCGCCTCGCGCTCTTGCAATACAGTTCGTATCTCGTCTTAGATCCCAAGAAATGGTTTGACGAAAGATCCGTAGTATTGCGTACGCAGCATACTGTCAGGTTGCCGAGGTCTAGACAGGAGGAGTTCTCAACTAAAACCTTTGATTCAAAAAACATGACCGCAAGGCAGCGTGTTTGACGTTGGGTTACAAGGAGCCCGTTTTAAGGAATAAGGAACCACCACCTTCCAACTCCCATCCTGGAGGACCAGGAGGCTGTTTGTCTGGCCTCTAACCATTGACCAATCTGGTATAAGTGGCTCTGAAGGTGCAAAAAAGCACCACCCAGCATGGCTCAGTGGATCTCTGAAGCACGCAAACCATCGCACCACGGTAAGGTCCAGCCTCATTGCGCGTAGCTCAGACATAGTGAGGGCTTACGGCAAGCTGTCGCCACCCTTGAATATCTCCAGCGGTGTGAGACAAGGATGCCCGCTGTCACCTTTCCTCTTCAACTTCGCTATTGACGAAGTCATGGAAATTGCGTTCACAGGACGACTTAAATGTGGATCTGCTCCCAGGAGAACGACTTTTTGACTTGGAGTATGCTGACGATATTGCCCTCTTCTGTGACAGCTCACAAACGTGTCAAGAGGCACTGGACAGATTAGCACTAGCTGTCCGTCACTTCGGGATTTGCTTCGCACCCTCGAAGTGCAAAGCGTTCCTCCCAAATTGGCCTGAACCGCCTCCTACGCTGACCCTTGGTGGGGATCAGCTAGAAGTCATTCAAAAATTCAACTACCCGTGGGATTGAAGATGAGATCACGAACCGTATAGCAAAAGCTCGGGGCGCTTTTGCTAACCTTCGCCACTTATGGCGGCGGCGCGACATCACCCTTGCCCTGAAGGGTAGAGTGTACAATGGAACGGTACGTTTGACCCTACTGTACGGTTGTGAAACCTGGCCCGTTAAAGCAACGGACATGAAGAGGCTAGTTACGTTCGACCACCGGTGCCTTCGCAATTTAGCTCACATCTGGTGGGAACACCGCGTGAGCAATGAGCGTGTTCGACGCCTTGTTGACGGCACAGGGAAAGGAAATGAACCGCTCAGCACCGTTATTTCACACAAAGGGCTCCCATGGCTCGGCCACATGTTACGCATACCAGCTTACCCACTCCCGCGACGTGCGTTGTTTGCGCGCCAGGAGTGTGGATGGAAGAAGAGGAGGGGAGCCAAACGATGACTTGGTCGAGAGGAATGAAGGCCCTCACTTCTGAGCTGGCCTCGGTTGGAGCGTCTCGGCTCCCTGGTTGGGGTCCGAAAGACGATGAACACGTTTGGTTTGATATACTTGCTGGTACGGCTAGGAGCCGACCTCAGTGGCGTTCGTGCTATATATTTCTTTGTCCCACCCTATCCCTCTAAGCCTCCCCCTCCAACCATGATCTCACTATTTAGCCTTACATAAGTTTGCGTAACTTTTTTGCTGCATAGTAGCCGGGTGGTAGCTTACCGAAACGATGCTCATCCGTTACGGGTAGCTCAGCTGGCTTGCACCTGTTGCATTATTCCATTTTTTATATATTGCGGCACAGTAGCTGAGGTGTTTTCCACCTCTGATGATGACTTAGATCCCAAAGACGCTGATACAACTACCCAAATAATTGAATTTTTGAACGACTTCCAGCTGATCCCCACTAAGGGTCAGCGCAAGAGGCGGTCCCTCCCAAACTTGGAAGAAAGCTTTGCACTTCGAAGGTGCGAAGCGTATCCCGAAACGGCCGACAGTCAGTGCCGCTTCGCACGTTTGGGAACTGTCACAGATTAAGGCAATATCGTCAGCATTTTCCAAGAAGTCGTTCGTCCACACCTAAGTCGTCTTGTGAACGCGATCTCTATGAGTTCGTCAATGGCAAAGTTGAAGAGGGTGACAGCGGGCAACCTTGTCTCACACCACTGGAGAAATTGAAAGGGGCGACAGTTTGCCGTAACCCCTCACTCTGAGTAAACAGTCCTAAGGGGCACATCGATCAACCGAATCGAATATTGGGCCGCCAATATATGCGATGGTGCCCCAACCACTGACGCAAAGTGAGGATGTGGTCGATGCAGTCTCGACCTTGACGAAACCCGGGTGGCTGTTCACGAATCTGGCTTTGACGAGTGCCAGTCAGTCTGTGAAGGATTATGGAAGCAAGTAGTCTGGAGGCGATGGAGATCAGACTGATTCCTCTATGGTTGCCGCATTCCTATCGTGAGCCTCGTTTGAAAATCGGGGCTATAACAGTGGATTCAGTCTGTCGGGACAGTTTACTGCTCCCACATTTTCAACATTAACCCATGTAAATTATTGAAAAGAGCAGGGTCCCCGAATTTGAAGAGGGCTGGATGAAAATCATCTGGTCCCGCGGCTTTACTCAATTTCACCGAGAGGGCGGATCCAAAGGGAACGCCCAGGGAGATGAGTGCCTGGCAAGAAATCTGACAATTTCGGTCGATTAAGTTGCTTTTCGAAGTGCTCAGCCCAATGTTCCAAGCGTTTCGGCAATTTGTGAATAGGCTGCTCACTCTCATCACATACAGTTTCGCCAGATCTCCTGCTGCCCGCTTTCCGTGTCAGACAGAATAACTTCGAATGGCTAACAAGGGCAGCGGCCATTTCTATCTCTGATGCACGATGAGACCACCAGCATTCATGGTCTCCCTTCAGACTAGCACGTAGCTTCGCCCTTAGATCTTTGCGAGTCTCATTATGTTCGCATCCAGTCGGAATGTGCCGGCAAGCAAGTTCCTGAGACCGCAACGTGACCCAATGTCCATGTTGTCTTAACACATGATAACTTCAAAAACAGCATCAGTACATCAGCCATTTGAACGGATGTTTCGCTACCATACAACCATGATGACCTATGTAATAGAGAATAATAAGGGGGAGAAAATGGGGACTTACCTGAAAACCTTAATGCCCTAAGCAAACACTCAGGGTCAAGGCGCCTACACCTAGTGTAGACAACATACCGTCACAAACAGCTGGCTATCGTGCAAAGATAAGGCGGCATCGGCAAGACAGCTTCCTTGCGGCTTTTGCTGCCCCGCATCATAATCAGCCATTACCCCGCAAATAACTCAGCACCAAACACACTTTAAACAGGCAATCTAATTAGGAGACGGCAGCAGACGCGCCACGGATGTCGGTTGCGAGCCATGTCCTTCAAAGTCCCAAGCCAAGCACTTGGCGAGTCACGTGGACTCCAGCTTGGAAGGCGAGACGGACGGAAAGCACATAGTTTGGTAGTCAGTGACTTCATTTCCCGTTGCCAAGTCAACTTCTGTCCACCTCGAGCCTTGCGCCATCCCACATCTGGCAGACTAAACAAGGCCCTCCTAGGTAAGCAGTGACCCGGCATACGTAAAACGTGCTAAAGACAACGCAGATTATTCAGTGCTATCTGTTACGCTAGGGAGCTAGCATGATTATCACCAACTAGTACTCGCCTACGCCCATCATCGTTGCGGACACGGTGGTGCCATCCGACACCAGCAATACTTCACAAGCAACGATGATCAAAGACTTGAAGGCGCCTCAGATCTTCAGACCGAAGGGACCAACGTAGGACTAGTAAATACTAGTCCGAGACGGTGTGCGAAAGTAAGCGCGGATATCAGAAGGCAATTGGAGTCGGACACAGCGGACTGTATTCGATGGGCTACAAAAAGACGCGGACGGATGAAGCAAGGCAGGTGGTACAGGTTAGTGCGGGAACTCACAAGGCGGTGGAGTGTCGAGCCGGTTGTAAGGACGATTAAAACAAGAAAGAATAATGTACAATTGGTCAACAATAAAATGGTACATAAAAATA